TCTCTGAAAAGTGAAAAAAAAAAAAAAACCTATCGAATTGATAAAAGTTTCATCTATATAATTCGTTAAAATTTTGGCTCATTCATATTATTTTCATTGAAAAGGCTTATTCATACCATTATTTGTTTCCTGAAATGATATAAATGAGCCAAACTTTTAGTTTACGACGGCATGTATGAGCTTTTCCTCAAAGTTCCATAACATATTTGAACCTTTTCGCTTTTGAAAAAATTGATTTAATTAATAACGTGGTCTAATTATAATTGACCACGTATAAAAAAAGATTTTGCACAATGAAAACTATTTTTAATTAACAAATATTGACATGGATAAACATTTTTCTCGAATGAAAATGATATTGATGAGCATAATTTTTAACAAATGTATAGATAAACCTTTTGTCAAAAGTTCGATAACATATTTGAGTGTTTTTCTAAAAAAAAAGATGGTAATATATGAGGTATATCAATTTGAAAGTAGTAATATTAATCTATCAAATTTGTTTTTTCTCACAGTTTTAATCATAAAAAAGTTATAGGTCATTAGAAAGTTGTACTAGAAACAAGAAAAATAGAGAGGTTAAACATGAAAGGAGGAAGCTAGGTAGCTGGCAATTGGAGTAGGCAGTATACTTTTGTGATAAAAAAAGCAAATACAGCTAAAAAGAGTTTTAAGAGAGAAAAAGGTATATAGAGAGGTAGCCAAAGGCGTAAGCAATAGTAGGTCCAATTCTACTCTGAAAAGCTAACGTTTTCGATTTGACCGAGTTTTCTCATCTATTTTTATTTTGATATTCGATGTCCGCATCAATGTTTTGACTAAATCTAATTAATAGCAAACGTAAAATCGATAGAGAGTTTGGAATCTAAATAAGCCACAAAAAAATAAGACTGATCAAAATAAGCCATTATTTTATTCCAATAAATTACTAAAATAAACTTAGTGGAAGAAAAAATTCCGTTTTATATAATATTCTAAACGTTTTCCGTTAGTTTCATAACGTGTATATTTTAATATATAACGGAATTATTTTCTACACCTTATAAAACGGAACTATTTCTTACACTTTGTAAAGTGTAAGTTTTGCTTACACTTTGCTAACGTTTGGCCATAGATTTCTAAATATTCTTGGCAAATATTATTTGGGTGAAAATTTGGGTGAAATTTCACCATGTGTTTGGCCATAGTATTTGGGAAATATATTTCACTTTTTTAGAAAAATGTGATTTATACCCATAAGTTTTAAAAACTATCAAAACTAACCATAAGTTTGTATTACAAGTCAATTGAATCTTCGTTGCAACAATAACAAATAGTGTTCATGACACTAGAGCAATGTGGTAGTTTGGAGTGAGTGCAACAAACATCATTCCATAAATCGTTAAGTAGACAAAGCACATGACTTTGTTAGCATTAGTCTATTGTTTATCATTTTCATCAACAACCATATCATCATTTAATATTCACTGAATATTTCATCACTACTTTGGTGTTCACGTGAAAAATTATGTAATACGACACAAACAACTACTATAGAGGATGTTTTGTAAAAGATAAAAGTTTGGGGTAAAATTTCAATTTTCAAAAGATCCCAAATAATGAGATTTGGCCCAAATACTAGAAAAACTAGTATTTGGAAATTTGGGATATTTGCCAAAAATATTTGCCAAATAATGACAAACACTATTTGCCAATTTTTTTCCCAAATATTATTTGGAAAATCTATGGCCAAACGGGCCCTTTGTATAGTGGAAGTTTTTCTTACACTTTATGAAGTGGAAGAAAAAATTATGTTTTTTACAAAGAGGAATATTTTTCAGGTTGTATCTCTTTATAAAGCTTGTGCAGTGTTTGCCATATAATTATATTGATTGACATATCATAAAAACGAAAAAAATCATTACATTATGTATTTTAATTTTTTTATTCTGAAAACTCCTTCAACCTCTATTTAAGGACATTCAAACATAATTGATAACCTTCAATGCAAAATAGGGTGCATTAGTAGTGCTTGCTTTAATAATGCATGTATTAGTTATGCAAGCATTATTTCTTATACATTGTTTGGTTTGATGTATTAGAAATAACAAATCTTGCATAATATCTATTGAAAAATTTATGTTTACAAAAATATCCTTCACACTTTATTTATTTGTACACTTCCTTTGCAAGTTCTTTCCTAAAACACCGAAAAATATATCTTTGCTAACATCTTCTTCTTCTTTTTATTTTTTTCAAAAATAAGATTAAATAGTTGTACTATTGCGTCAAAATATTTTTGTGAAAAATTGGCAAAGATTTTTTTTATCAAATTTATCGTCACAATAGTAAAAATTTTGATTAAATTATATTGAAATTAGATTATTTTTTTATTTTTTTAAAAGATACTTAAGAGGTCATAAAGTACAAGACACCAACAAATTAAAAGACACTAAAAAGCAAAAAAAAAAAAAAAAACTTATGACAACAAAGAAAATGAAAAGGCTTTAAAGGTAGTTTTGTAATTATCTAATCTAATGCAAGTGTTAAAATGTTATGCATTACTAATACCTAGAATTCCTTGGTATTAGTAAAACACAACTTAATACACAATAGAGTGTATAACTAATACACTCTATTGTGTATTAAGTTGTGTATTACTAATACCAAGGAATTCTAGTTATACAATCTGTTGTGTATTACTAATACCAAGGAATTTTAGGTATTAGTAATACATAACATTTTAACACTTGCATTAGATTAGATAATTACAAAACTAATGTAAGCATTAGTTATACATGGCATGAAAAAGTGTACCAAACAAGGTACTACTAATACACACACATAATGCATGCATTATATTTCCTAATACACTCTACCAAACGACTCCTTTAGTCTTCTATTTTTCATCATTTCAATCACAAAAAAAAAATGTCTTCTAAACAAAAAGTTAGAGTTTCGATTTATTGGAATGGTGAAATTATACATGAGGGAAATACCATTTATTATAATTGTCCTCCCAAACACAATGCTAAATATTCCATTAATGTCCGATATCATAAATTTCTTTCATCAATTTATAAAAAAATGAATATAAATAGTACTGATTATAATTTGATTATAGTCGAAAAACACAAAAAAATTTCTTCCACTTTACAAAGTGTAAGAAAAACTTCCACTTTACAAAATGTAAGAAATTGTTCTGTTTTACAAGGTTTAAAAAATAGTTTCGTTATATATGAAAATATACACGTTATGAGACTAACGAAAAACGTTTGGAATATTACATAAAACGGAATTTTTTCTTCCACTAAGCCTATTTTAATTACTTACTAGAATAATGACTTATTTTGATCACTTTTATCTTTTTGTGGCTTATTTAGATTTTGGACTCATCAATAGTAGAGTAATGCTTCCAATAAAAAAAAATTCTTATTGAAGACCCGAACCCAAACCTCTCTAATTAATGATGAATTTGTTCCACCACAACTCATGTTGGTATTTTCTTTTCTAATCTACTTCATCAGAGTTTGGCCTCAAATCAATGGGCACCATATATCAAGGGATCATTTCTAAAGAAACATATCAAAATAGACAGTTTGTCTACAAATGGACGAATTGTCCTGAACAACGTTAATTTCGGCTATTCCTCTCAAAAATACAACACATATTTTAAGGATGAGCTACAATTTTTTAATCATCACTTCAAGGTAATCTCTTCTATGTTATTATTGTGAAATAATATCAAGTATTTATCCATAAATTCATCGACAATTTATGTAATATTATCTGTCTAGAGGTAGAGTTTTGAAAAAATAAACACTTTTGAAATTTGTCAAGTAAAATAAATCATAGACATTTATGTGATCATATAGATCATTTTCTTCTGCTAAACCAAGTAAATATTGAAGAAAAAGAATTCATTGAGTTAGGTAAATCTTTTTTCATGTAGCGTCAATTAATTCATACATTATGCCCATGACTTGTGAAATTATAACAAGGAATAACAAAAAGATCTACTAGTCATTTGGTTAAAAAAAGATGTGACAATCACAACAAGTTACAATGCAAGCTAAGCCTTATCAACCGCTTTCCTGCAAACCTCATATAAAATAAAATAAAAAGAAATACTGAGTTGTTGCACTAATCGCTACTTCATATGCCCTACCTCCCAAAATGTAGAACTTTGGAATGCTTTATTTATTTATTATGTCTTTCATTACTGAAAGGACTAGTATATGGATCCAATAATCATTTTTTGCCACTTGGAATTGAAAAAAATAAAATGTAGGAATTTGACAAAAATATACTTTTGTAACTTGTAGATCAGTAGGAGTCTTAAAGCCAATTATGAATATTTACAAAGCCGAAATCTCAAATTTGATCAATCATTAATAAGAAATCTTAAGATATTTTTTCATCCTTCACGAGAGGTGTTGGATTTGAGCCCACTTGATTGCTAAGTTGCCTTTATAGGAAATAGTTTACCCTCTAATGTGAGTGTTCTCCGTATAAATTCAGATTTGATCAAATTCGAATGTAAATAATCGACACATTATCTGAATTTTGCAACAGTTTACCCTCCAATGTGAAAGTTCTCAGTATAAATTCAGATTTAATCAAATTTCAAATGAAAAATAATCGACACATTGTCTGAAAACCGAAAAAAAAAAATACGTAAAAACTTTCAAAAGTCACAAATAGAAAGAGAAGTATTAAGTAAAAGTTTTCGTGCGACGTCAAGAATCTGCTGCAAGTGGCAGGCCATTTGCAAATGTGATGTTTGTGGGAATATAATGATGAAATCAAATTTGATTTGAACTATCACATTCTGATTTCAAACCAAAATGCCCAAACTGAAAATTTGAAACACAGTACTTTTTTAACTTTACATAAACCGAAACACTTTTCATTCATTGCTGGAACTGGACGGACGTTTTCACAAGTGACGTCTCTGTGCCACTGATCTAATTTATCCTATTCTACTATTGTTCCTCACTACTGTATTCATACAAACAAAAATAATAATAATAATAGCACCAAAACGGGAAATAGAACAAACGTCTCTGTTTTCCTATTCCCGCTAACTATTCAGTTTCAAAATAGTATTGATGATTTTTTTTTTCATATGCTCCATCTGTTCAGCTCCACAGAAGAAGAAGAGGCTCTAGCCAGATTTTCGCTACTTTTTGCTAGTGAGCTGTAACATCTCTTGCAATGTAATATAGCGCCTTGGATTCCGTCATTTTGCTCTTGTAGAAGTGAATTGTCACGGCGATTTAACGGCGACGAGGAAGCTCCGGCGGCAAAGGTGGATGCCGCCGATCGACTTTTCCCTAAGTGCTTGCGTACAGATCCGAATGAAGCAACTCGTTTCACCTCTGATGTTTTTCTGGGTGAGCACATTGATTGTGCCGATGGAGACGACAACGGTGATACACTGATTTTGTCTGTGTACCTTTTTGAAGCTCTGGCATACAATGGCTTCATCAATTTTAAGTACTTAGGCACATCAGCTCTTACAAATTTCTTCAACGATTCGTCAACGGAAAGCTCCTCCTCTTTCTCGTTCTGCAATTTGCTTCTTAAACTGTTGTCTCTGGTAAATACAGGGGTCACAGGAACGGGAACCTCTTCCACATTGCATTTCACCGGAAAGCGCTTGAGATCCAGTTTCTGTGTTTGAAACTTCGTACCGGACGGAGAAGAATTGTCAATGCCTACCTTCTCCAGCTTTGTTTTCCTTAAGCCCAAAAAGAAGACCCGAAATTTAGGGGCCGATTTGAGTATAGAAATCGGAGATTGAGGCTTCGAGATAGAGTCAATTGGAAAAGCTATTGGTTTGAAAAATACATCTCTCGGGGATTCCGGTTCACGGGGAGTGTTAACAGAAACGGATTTGGAGTTGTTGTCCAATTTTGGGCGTTCATCAGGGCCAGTGAAAACCAAATCAAAGAAGGAATCCGCATCGTCGTCAGTTTCTTCATCAGTTTCAATGGCTGGGTTACGTAGGTAGTCTAATTCATCAATTTCAGAGACAATATCCCGGCAAGTTGAAGTATCAGTGCCGGAACTTCGCCAGAATTTGAGTAGGTTAAAAGTTTCCATTGATAAGATGAAAATGTAGAGTTTCTGGATTTTAGGCTCTTCTTCTGTAAAAGCAAAGAGCTGATGTATGCTTTCTGTAGTTTTTTTGAGAGATGAGACAAGTGAGAATGATGAGAATTTTGTTGGTTTCATCATCATTTTATATAGGGGAAGAAGAGTAGGGTCATCGTCACGTGAGAGGCACATTTTCATTTGCTTATTTAAAAAAAAATAATAGATAGGTAATATATTCAAATGCTAAATATTTGTTTATCAAATTAATAATGCAAGTACATAATTAAGTGATCGTATAAAATAACAACATATATTAATTAATCTTGATTAGGTGATAAATAATATGGACACTATTCGTCCAAAAATTACGTTGTATATATGTTTAAATTTAAAGAATATATATTTAGAGTTTGACACCCTAGACAAAAATTATGTCTTTAGGTGCCGTGGTAATGGGTGTCCATTTGAATTAAGGAGTTGCCCTTTTGAACCCCAAATAACACAATATTTTCTTATTTTATTTTGACAGTCACACACTATTACATGAATGAGTAATACACATATATAAAATAATATTCTATAATTTTACTTATAAACAATTTCTATATTACTAATATCTGGCTTAATTTTAAGCTACCAAATGACCTTGATATAAACATTGAAATTCGTAGAAATGTGCTTACGTATAGACTACGGAGAAGTGTGTTATTTTTATAGAGTAACGGACTGAAGTTTGGATATGCCATCAGGCAACTTCACACATTTGAATTTGCAGACTTTTTCTGCTCCAAAGATTCCCAACGTTCCCTTTACAATTTGAATTTTATCAAAAAAAATATTTTACTGTATTTTTTCAAGTAGAAATAATGTCTTGACCAAATTTTACTATAATCTTTTTTAATGATGCATTTTCAAATACAACTTCAAATTTTGAATATGTTTTTTCAACTTAGTTTCAAATAATAGATTTTTATATATGCGCAACTTCAATGTTATTACGTTTCATCCTATACTTGATTAAAATTCTAAAATTAACTTTCATATAGTAGGCCAGTCTTATCTAAATTAAACAGTATCAAATAAAAAAATATGTCTTTTCTTTTACTTACCTTTGCAGAACTAGAAATCAGCGTATAGAAAGAGACAAACTAAAAGAAGAGTAAAAGGGATTGGACCGATTTTGGGGAAGAGAAACTCTGAGGATGGTCACCAGAAACGAGTAATGAGTTTATCTGAATCTAATAGTAGTAATTTTTATTTGAAATATGATATTATGTTTAAAATTTACTAAAAATGTAATAAATAATAAATATGAAACTTAACTTTGAAAATACAATGGATTTGACAATAATAAAAACCTTAGAGGTTGAACCATAAAACTAAAAGCGTTACCCTATGTGTTCGACAATGTTTCATTAAAAAAGGTAACTTTTATTTTCAAAGTGAAAAATGACATTGGAATATTAAAGATGTTTTTTTTTAAGCAATAAAAGTGAAAACACATTTTTATTGTATTTCAAATTCTGAAAAATTGCAATTCAGGTTTGAGTTAAATTCGGAATTTTTTTTGGACAAACATGTTTTCTGGAGTTCAATTTTTTTTTAAAATTAAATTTATTCATAAGGCGAATGCTTTTGTTTTTGTGAGAGGGACACTCACCTTTTTCTTTTTCTTTGGTTTTCAATATGTGTAATATATTAATACACCAAGGTATTGGCTTTTTTACCTTTGTGTAGCAAATTAAAGTGTGGGCACGCTCGTTAGCCAGATATGCCTCAAAGTTTTGACTTCTTTTTTTCAAGATTCATTTATCTTTGTAAAAAGTCCCTAATTTTCATATTTCTTTTGGGAGAATACTCTCAAAAGATTGAAAAAAAAGAAAAGAATGGTTCCACATAAATGTAATTTACAAAGTGATAAAGAAGGTGAGAGTAGGAAAAGTAGAAAAAGAAATAAAAGTGAAATACATATAAAAAGAAGGAAAAAAGTAAGAGAGTTTGCAAATATAATGTTACTTTCTTCGGACCAAATTAACAAGCCTACTTTACTTTATGTCTCTATAAGGTTATTTTACTACTACTATAAATTTTGTGTTTATCCAGTAGAGCATTGTACCAAGTATGTAGGATATTATTCTTTTGATCACTCTACAAAGAATACAATACAGAATAATTAAGTGGCTTCCCGCTGGCTAATCCCTGAATATGGAAAAAATATTGTTGGGAGCACATCAAGTAGGGAGAAAACTTTGTTGGGAGCGTCTTTCACGGGTCCGTGATTCGAATTTAGTTGGAGCTTCAATGTGAATTTCAACACCGGGTGGGAAACCAAAAATAAAACACAAAAATGATGTAATTTTCACTTCTACTTAATGTTGGTGAATTCAGCAGAGAAAAGGCTCAAAATAGTCTCTCATCTTTGGTTTGCAAATTTCATACCTCAACTATCCATTGTTCTATTTAAGATAAAAGGCCCAAAATAGTCCCTCATCTTTGGATTAAGATTCAAAGTCATCCTTGAGTTTTCACATGGAGCATTAATAGTCCCTTATGTTTGCAATATTGGTGAACTTTTTGTCCTCCTTCAAAATTTTGCCTATTTTTTAATATTGATATTATTCATAATTTATGTATGGAATGTTTAATCGTCATTTTATATATTTAGTAGAAATAATAACTTCATGTGAGATATTGTGAGGAAAAAAACACCTTATTTTGTTTAGTAGAAATCGTATTGCATGTAAAGTCGAGAGGTTCATCACGACGATTTCACGTACAATAGTATAAATTTTTCTTTTCTTGCAATGTCATATATTATAAAATGTTCTTAGTTTAGCTGCAGTAATATTTATACTGAATAGAACAAGACGTTCTTCTTCTCACATTCTCTCACATAGAGTTATTATTCTACTAAATATATAAAAAGACGATGGGACATTCCTTACATAAAATTATGAACAAAATTAATGTTAAAAAATAGGCAAAAGTTTAGGGGAGGACCTAAAGTGCAATAATATTGCAAACATGAGGGACTATTAGTGCTCCATGTGAAAACTCAAGGATGACTTTGAATCTTAATCCAAAGATGAGGGACTATTTTGGGCCTTCTCTCGAATTTAGCATGTTAATTTTTAAAAATATAATAATATGTAACGATCTTTTATTAATATCCATTTTTTAAAGTGTCCATAATTACATGTAATCACTCTCACATATTTTACAACTTTCTCCACCACTATTTAAAAACTAAATCATCTATCAAATTATGTTTAATCAATTTTATTACCCCACTAATTAACTCATAATTTATTCTATGGAAGGCTTATCAGGATTTAGGCCTATAAATATGTCTTATTCTACCTTAGCTTGTGATGGTGTAAGTAAGAATAATGTTGTAAAATTAACAAAAAAGTGAAGTTAGTACTCTTATGAAAAAGAAAGTTTATCTTAATTATTGAAAGAAGATGTTTTTATTGGAGGAGTATTTAACTCTATAACTTGCCAGAGTTTATTCGAGTCATATAACATTATCGAGCTATTACATTCTAGAGGAGACAATTAAGTTAAGAAAATTATTATTGTACTAGTAAAGTTTATGTTATAGTAGGCTTAAATCTTCTTTAGAAAAGAAAGATGTTTGCATCTTAACTTGATTTTTTTTTTCTCTAACTATAATTTGTATTTCACCAAACACTCTGTCCATCCATTAGCTCAGTTTAATGAGAATAAAGCCACCCCTTAATTATGAGCTAGGATTGATTACAATTTGAAGATAAAGAAATAATTCTACTAAAGAACTAGAGGATCATTTATTGATCTCTTCTTCCGGAGATCTCCAATGCAATATCCTTCTCCTCCGCTACATATGTTAAATAGAAGCGGTGAAATTAACTCATAAAATCATAATTTACTGAATTTATTTAAGTTTGAGTTGATTATTGATCTGTTCCATTCATTTCAACCCATTGAAATTTGGGTTAATATTTAGCCCAAATGATCTATGAGAAATCTTATCAAAATACTTTTTAAAATATATTATTATTTTTATTTAATATATATAGTCATAATAAAACAAAACAATAATTTTACTTAGGTATTAAACAAATTATTGAAAAAACAAATAAAGAAATTCAAAAACTTAATAAGAAATGTGTGGATTAAATTTTGACCCGCACTTAAACTCATTTCAACCCAAGTAACTTTTGAATAGATTATTTATTAACTCAACCCATGATCTTAATCTGTTCATATTTATTCCAATCCGTTCATTTATCACCTCTACTTATTACTTGACACAATGAAAAAGCAAAAGTAGTTACTACAATCCAAAGAAACGATGTCATGCATGCATGAATAAAGAAATTAAAACCGTGAAAACATAATGCAGACAATAGCAGTGTATTTATTCATACAGTGAACCATATAGTACAAAGGAAAGGGACTAGTCTTAATTACCAAAGCTTGGGAACATAATTTTCTTATCCAAGAATCATATAGATTTTCTCTAATCCCGCTATAGATTGCATGAATACATCAACAGGAACAGGGCAAATTAAACATGCCTAAATTTATTATTTCAATGAGTTTAAAACTTTTTACGACTTTAGGGAATATGCCCATACATACCATTGAGTCAAGAACTTCATTTTCTATATATTATTTATTTGGGTGTGTGAATAATATTCCCCATGGAAATTAAAGTAGAAATAAAAGAATGTTTTATGAGGTATTTGAAAGATACACGATCTTGATGGGGCGAGGTTAGTGGCGGAGACCGAATTTTCATCAAGGGTTTTTATACTTTAGGACAAGAAAAAAAAAAAAACTTTGCTGGTGAGATTATAAAGAATGGAATGCCACCTTTGTTCTCTTAAATGAGCAATCTTTCTTTAGCATGTTAAATTTGTTCAACAAATACTATATATCCAAAACTATTGATATTTAACATATATACTCGCAAATTTTTTCTGACAAAGGTAGTTCATCTGACCACCTTTCAAAGGCGTAGCTCCGCCCCTGGGCGAGGTCTCTTGTGAATGATTGTGCAAGCTTAGTCTAATCGAACAATATCATTAACTATCTTAAGCGTATCTTTG